GCGGCATTAACAGGGCAGTGAGAGACATAGTGGTAAAGTTCACACACAGGCAGATCCAACATTACCGGTGTTACTATAAACTCCTGTCAGTACCAATTAAAAATAAACTCAACTAGCCTCAGTTCTGTCCTCATATAAAATTTATAAAAAAACATGAATTTCTCCCAGTCAAATTAATGGACAACTGCACAATATTTGTTTGCATTAAAATAATGTTTATAAGGGAGTCCTTTTCATGTACTTCTCTCCATGATTTCAGTGTTTCTATGATGATCCCCATTATGGATGATTGTTGATGTAAATAATCAAAAGATCTACATTTCAAATCGCCAATTTTTTAAACAAACCAACAGCAGCAAAGCTCTAATTGATGGAATCAAATAAATTAATCCTTTTTTTTTTGCAATTGAAAGCAGGAGTCAAAATGTGTCCAAGACTCACCAATGATCCAGAGCTGTAGTTTCCCTGCCTGGAGTTTCTAAAGGTTCTCCTGCAGGCAGTCAGAACAGAGCCTATGGAGTTTTATGAAGGAATTAAATAAACTGAAAGCAACTGAATGAATATGATTAAATCTAATTTAATTGAACTGATAGGCAAAGACAAAATTGTGCACAAATAGGAACCATAAATGAGGAACATCATCCAGTTCTGCTTCAAAAAACAGCCGAGCAGGATGTTGGATGACAACATAACGAAAAGAAATGACAAAACACTTAGTTTCCGTTATCTCAACAGAACTACACAAACTGTGAAACTTCCATAAACTTCCCATGAATGAAAGTGTGGTTGTAAAACTGTTCTTTGCACACACCATCAACAACCATCTAAGGCTGTGGTTCTGCAAGCTTTTACTACAAGTACCACCTCAGTAAATACTACATTTTACAACATACCATCATTTTTCACAGACTTTAAAAAAGACTTTGATTTCCAGATTTGTGTTTAATATATTGAAGCAAAAAAGAAACCAAAACTATCATTTGTTGTTCAAAGAATGCAGTTTTTGATCACTCTGGTAAATTCAGGTTAAATATATATAGTGCTAATTCACAACACATCATCATATGTTGAAATGCCACAGACTAAAGTTAATATATATATATATATATATGTATATATATAGTTATCATGATCAGAAGCCATTATATTGAGTGACAAAGTTGAAGGTTTCTGACAATTGTAAACTTAAAATTTAACATGGCTGCCTTACATTTAAATGTCACTGACAGGGAATACCTATACATTGTTTAACAGGGATTTAGCTTTAATAATCTGATAGTGGATTTAATGAAATCATTACATAAGTCATAATTAAAGGAAACATATCAGAGACTGTTAACCTACATAGAAGATGCAGACAGAGGTGTTCCTTCAACCCAATACTTTTTGCCCTGTTTATGGAACCCCATTGCACAAATGATCAGAGAGGTATAAACAGGTATGGGGGATTGCAGGATAACAAAAGAAGCCAAATGACCCCCATTCCAAAGGGGATTTTCTAAAAAAAAAAAAAGGCTTTGTTGGTCTACTGTATAAAGCCCAAAAAACTCAACTCTATTTCTGACATTTTGCATTGAAAAAGTTTCCTGGATGGGAAGCGAAACATCTTCGAACTTGAAAACAAAGTCCAGTGGATTGGGTTTTTTTTTTTTCAGAATGACTATGACCTGGATGACTGAGAATCTTTACCAGCATATCAGAGAGGACAAAGATGTTCTTATTGGAGCTGATCATCACAAGGAATGTCCATATGCTGATTAGTTCTTTTAACATTTTGTCAAGATTTGGTTGTGGTGCGAGGACCCAAATGCAGAGACAGGGAGGCAGAGGCTTATTGAAGTGTTTTCAAACAACTGAAGCAGAAATCCAAAAATCCAAAACACATCCAACAAGAAAAAAGTTTAACCAACCAGAAAACATGGAGACATCAGGGGGGAAGACTATCAAGAGGGGGTAGACAGAGTTGGAGGAAGTTTGACAAAGAACCAGCACTGAAGAACTGCACAGAGAGAGTATTTATGGGAGAGTGAGACAAATAGAGGACTAACAAGGAGATTAGGAGCAGATGTGAAACAGAGCAGAACAGGAAAGGAGCAAAGGAAAAAGGAGAACACAAGAGGGCAGCAGAGGGCAACAAATAAAAACCTGAAAACTGAAAATAACCAGAAAACACAACAAAATAAGAATTAAACCACTAAAACTAGAAAACAAGGAGCGAAGTAAAAATGAATACTCAAAAGAAAACATAACAGAACCAAAACTATGACACATTTACGAATCTAAATAAATCCATAATGATTTTGCTAATCCTACTAAAAAAAGGACTATAATTATATATTTGAGTTCTCAGTTTGATTTGCACAGAAGTCAAACTCTCACTTTTAATTATCAGCTTTCTGAAAACATTGGTAAAATTAATCAATTCAAATGGAAAAAGCATAGGAGTAAATACAGGCGTAAAAATACATATCATAACTGCTAATTTTTGAAAAATGAAATTAAAAGTATTTAAACCGCTGGTGATTGATTTCAATAAATGTTTTTTAACCAAATTGAGATGGTTAAGATGCATATTCTACCCAGGCTGCTGTCTTAGTCAGTCTTTAAATGGGTAACCTCAAACCTGAATAAAACAGATTCATTTCAACCTTTATCAAGGAAAAGAAAAGGCACCGCAGCTCTCTACAAACAATGGTGCTATGGCTCTGCATTGCCTTAAATATTGTTACAAAACATCCATCCGTCCCACGTTCCAACACACTTATGTCTGTTGTCGCGAGGTGTGCTGGTGTGCTGGTGCCTGTTATTGCAGAACAGTACAGTGCAGTCCTATCATGGAGGTCAAATTGTTGGATCTGGAGCAGAGTAGGTCAGACAAACCATCCCACTTAATATTTGATATGCGAAATGTAGAGTGCAAACATTTTAAATATCTACCACAATATTGCTATGACTCTAAATTTGAGTCATCAGATTTTAGCATTCCTACCTGAGGAAATTTGGAAACCTTCCAGCATTTTACAAATTCTTTGAATTTAGAGAAGCAAGACTTTATTTAGTGTTTGTCATTAAAATGATTTAAAAAATCTATTCTTTCCTTGTTAAAACTAAATGGAAAAATATGCAAACATGAAATTAACAGAATTGGATTGATAAAATGTATGCAATAAACACAATGTATTACCTCTAGCTTCCACCAGTGGACAGAATTCACCTGGAAAATTCTTTATTCCTCGCAAAATGAAGCAAATTAATAAACAAAGATCCAAAGCTTGGAGATTGCTGTAGAATATGTGGGAATGAGTCTGCAGGTCCCTTTCACATTTTTTGTCACTGTACTGAGATCTCCCCCTACTGGAGAAAAATTATGACTGCAATCAGATCCCTCATCAGGTTAAATATTAACTTTTTCTTTTTGCTATTTATTCAGGATTGGGATCCCAAGTTAGGAAAGGTCACATCTACTGATAGCTGGTAGTAAGACAGCTATTGAAAATGGCTGAATAGAAAACCCCTAATAATTTTCTGGAAGATATGCCATCTAAAAGGGGAATATCTTTGGAAAAAATAAATGTGGTATTACAACCTTAATTATAGTCTGTTAAGTTTCTTTTTTTTGTAGGTTTTTGGCTTTGACTTAACGGCCCACGATGGAATTTTTAAAAAAACAACAGAAACAGGATTCTTATGCATCCCACTGTATCTCATTTATTTCTGATCAATTATAACTCTAAACCTTTAGATTTACCTTGATACGCTTTTAAAATATTAAAAGAAAGATAAAGTTAAACATTTCATAATTAGCAGATCCCATTGGTTTCTATAATCAGGAACTGAAAAAAGTGCCTTGAAGAATTCCAATTTCCATTCTTTGTAAAATATATCCCCTATCTTCACTCGTATATCGATCATTATACAGGATTATTGCACAGGGTGTTTACATTGTTATTTATATAGATGGATATTTATATATACTTATTGCATTGGGTGTCAAATGTAGAGAAACAGGTTATTGCAAAGGGTATCAAACGGTAAATTGCACATTATATATTGCACAAGTTGTTGCCGTTGTACTGTCATGTTGTAGAGTCTGGTGGCAGCAGCATATGTTACTTGAACTGCATAGAATAATTAATAAACACAGTTGTGAAATTCTTAGTTTACAGTATATTTAAAATGTAAGTATTTTAGTAGGGTCCATTTTGCTTTACTTTAATTCTCAGAAAAAATTCCAAAATATAGAAAATAATGGATATTGTGTGAACATTTTTTCACATAACTACAGATAACTTATTTTTACACAATAACTATTACTGCACTATAAAAAGTCAACATTTTAAAACTTTGTTTTGAATTTAAAATGTGTGAGGCCATAATCAGTAACATGAAAATTTTATTTCAGTTTAACATGGGGAAAAAGTCCGAATTCTGACTTTTTTCTCAGAATTCTAACTTTAATCTCAGAATTCTGACTTTTTTTTTCTCACAATTCTGACTTTAAACTCAGAATTCTGACTTTTTTCTTAGAATTCTGACTTTTTTCTCAGAATTCTGACTTTAAACTCAGAATTCTGACTACTTTTCTTAGAATTCTGACTTAAATCTCAGAATCTTGACTTAAAACTCAGAATTCTGAGTTTAAACTCAGAATCTTGACTTTAATCTCAGAATTCTGACTTTTTTCTTATCTTAACTTTCTTCTCATCTATTCCCATCTGATTGAGTTTTATGAGTCCTTCTCTCCATAAGGAATCATGTATCCTATCATCATTATTTCCTTCATTTTTAAAGTTTTTCCTATATATCCTTACTGACCACTGTTGTTAATCCACCTGCTCTAAAGCCACATTGATAGTAATTAATAAAAATGACCTTTTATTTCCTCCATTCCTTTGCTTAAATCGGATGTTAATGTTGTGGGTACCAAACTACCTGTTCCACCTGGAAACTTTGGAGCCGCAGGCAGGCAGGCAGGCAGGACGCGCTGCATGCTGGGAGGAACCAAGCAGCTGACTGACTCCACCTTCACCTCCAGCCGTCACACACCGTCCAGCTGGCTGCTGCTGACCCTCACCGGACACCGCTGCCTTCACACCGAGCCATGGACCCGCGGTGCCGCTTTCTAATGGTGAGCCTCTCACTGTCCGGGTCCGGCGGAGCCGGCTGGAGGAGCTAACGGGATGCTAGCTTCGGGGAAACAGGGTGGTTGTGTTTGAGTTTAGCCTTGTTCTATTCATATCTGCTGCTTAATGAATTGGACGGGTCAGAATCTACCGACTCTATCTCTTTATAATATCCCAGCCGGGTCGGAACCGGGCGTTTGTGACGTAATTCTGTTGATTATTGTCTTAGTCCACAGCTTAGCTAAGCTAAGCTAGGCTAGCTGGAGTGAAGCAGGTGTTCGGCCTGTTAATTTAATTCTTCCGCTGACTGGACGTGTCTGTGTCCGGGGCTGGAAGTGTCCGATCACCCACATCATGATCATTAAACCCCCGATCAGCATTCAACCTCCGCCGGCTGGGAGCCTGATCACCTGTTAGCTCTGTTAGCATGTTAGCCGCAGCTAGCAGCTAAATAAAGTGTGAAACAGTGAGTGATGAGGAGGGACAGACCACCTAAAACGGTCGGTTTGACGTGAAACAGGCAGGGATCTTCTACTGGGCTGTGAGGAAAGTTCAGGTAAGCTTGTTCTGACATCGATCCGTTGCTTTCGGTCCCTATCAGCTCTGACACGACCTCAGATTAGTGTCTACTTCTGTTCTGACATTGATTTTGGGACGGGTTTGGTTCTAGTTGTGTTTTTCTGACACTGATCTGTTGGAACAGTTTCCACGTCACCGCGGGACTCTGAGGTATTTCCTGCAGGTTGACTAGTCTTTCTGGCCCTGCAGGTTTGTGGTCCAGCTCAGCTCCAGGGTCACACCTGCTCTCAGGTGTTTTGGCTCCTCCCTCAGCTACAGTTCCTGCTTTGATCCAGAAACGGAAGTTGTTCAGAGTTGGAAAAAGTAACGAAGAAAAAGAGACTCTTCTCTAAATAGTTGATGCAACAAGGAAGAGTCTGACTGGTTGCTGGTTTGATGAATGAGGACATGTTAGAGGCACTGCCATTATTGACCAGGGTGGGAGGGGAGTTTGATACAGACCTCCAGTTGAAAAGGTTTTAAACTAAAACTGAGGTCCTTTTCAATTCAATTCAGTTTATTTATAGGCACATTACAGTTTAACCAGATCATACAGTCAAATTGATTCAAAGTTTTCTATCTAAGGAAAACTAGTTTATTGCATCAACTCATTGCCTCCAATGCAATCCCTCACACTAAGCATGCTTTTAGCGACTGTGGAGAGGAAAAACTCCCTTTTAACAGGAAGAAACCTCCAGCAGAACCAGGCTCAGTGTGAGCGGCCATCTGCTGAGGCCGACTGGGGTTCAAGGAGACAGAAGCAGAGATACAAAAAGCAGCTGTAAAAGGCGGCCCCGTCCAGGAAACACACAGCCAGGCAGACGAGCTCTGAGCGAACTTCCATGTCAGAGAATGAAGAGAGCACATCCAGCCAGTCACGGTCAGAGAAACAGGACTACACTGGAAAAACAGGCTGATCTCCAACATCTATAAACAAGGGTGTTGATGGCAGCAGCACAGCTGATGTTTCTCTCCAGGATGGAGTCACGGCCGAATAGGAATAGACGAGGCAAAACTACTATGAGAAAAAGCAGAGAGAGCATAAGGTTAGAGATTGGACTAACAGATTCTGCAGAGATAGAATGAAGCAAAATGATGAAATAGGGGTCCTTATGTCCTCCTGAAGTTTAAGCCTATAGCAGCATAACTATAGAGATATCTCAGGATAACCTGAGCCACTCTAATGGTTGATGATTGTTGAAAGTCAGCAGCTTCTTATCATGAATAATCCTGAAGGTCTCGTTATCAGAACAGTTAGTAGGTTGCAGTGAACAGAGCAGCTGCTCCTGTAAGGGTCATGATCCATGTGACACAGACGTTTAAATCCCACAGAGGAGCCGTTTGAGGTAAAGCCCAGAGGTGACCCTGACTGCTTGTTAGGTCAGAAGATCCAGTGATGTGTGGCTCTTTTTTTAATCTTGGTTTAATTTGGGTCTCAGCCAGGCTTCCAGGTTCTGCTCGGGATCTGAGCTTCACACTGATTATTTACCTTTTGGGTTTAATTTCTGTTTTCTTTCTTTCACTCCGTCTTCCAGGTGTAGCAGAGGCGACCCACTGGATTATGGAGCCAGAGGTGATACGCATGTACTCGTCCTCGCCGCCGCCGATGGAGGACGGTGCGGAGGAAGAGGACGATGAGTTTGGGGATTTTGGTACCTTCTCTGGCGTTCCAAACAGCATCAGTTTCTCTGAGTTTGATACCCCGACCAGCTTCGACCAGAGCCAAGCGTTGACGGCCACCTCACCGCCTGAGGTCCAGGGCAGCAAAGGGGTGGTGACCATTGAGCTGTCCAAGGCCAACGGCATCGGCCCCATCGGTCCCTCAGAAAGGACTGAGACGAGAAAAACCTCGTCCTCCTCACTGGACTTTTCTGTGAGTGAGCCTGCTGATTGCAATGGTGAGGACACAGAGGTCCTGACTAACGGATTTGTGACCTTTGACCTTCAGGGAAGCCCCTCTGCTCAGAGATCTGTCCACTCTCATACTAAGAGACCGTCCACAGAGGACACAGACGGCAGTCTGGAGGACGGGTTTGCAGACTTTGCTTCTTTTTCCAACTCTGCAGAGACAGAGGAGCACACGGACAGTTCGCCGGGGCCCGCCGTCCCCACAGGGGACAGCAACGGGGACCAGGGAGCGTCCTCAGAGGGAACTGTCAGGGACACACACAGAGACGAGGCCCCGGCTGGCTCCTGTAACACAGACCGGGGCCCGGACACGGACTCTCTACAAACGGACCAAGACGTCGCTCCTGAGCCCTCAGATACCGTTTGCACTAACGACCGTCTCTCCTTGGACGGGACGGAAGCCGACGAGGACGAGTCCAAAGACCTGTCATCTGACACGGCTGCAGATGTCGAGGCGGGGCAGTCGGACGAGAAGAGCTCGGAGACGGAGACGTCGTTTGGACGCCTGCTGTCCACAGACGCCCTGGAGGAGTACGGCGATGTCAGCACCACCGGCTCGGTGCCGTCCCCACCGCTCCAGGGGGACACGGCCACCCCCGCTGAGGAAGAGGAAGACTTTGGCGACTTTGGCGATGCCGGGTCGTTCAGCGGTCCGGGCTTCGCAGACTTTGAGCACGTGGAGATCCAGAAGGAACAGAACACATCGCAGGGTTCTGATTCTGCGGCGGAATGCGCAAACATGGAGCAGGAGGACGACTTCGGAGACTTCAACTCTCCTGAATGCGTTACCTGCGGAAACGAGGGGGAACATGGGGAGGAGTTCACAGAGTTTCCCACCAGCGAGAGTTTTGGGAATTTCAGCTCCGCCAAAGACGGCGAGGAGGATTCTGGTTGGAGCGCCTTCGGAGAACAGCAGAACCAGAACCAGGAGCAAGAGTCCTGGGCTGCCTTCAGCACCGCGCCGAGCGTCACCACCGAGGTCGGCACAGAGGAAGAGTGGGATGAAGGTCCAACGCCTGCAGTTAGTGAGGAGACGGGCAGACCAGAAACACAGCCGGTAAGAAGCAGGGCTTAATCTGGACCCTGGAGGCGGTCCTAAAAGGTTCTGGGTTCTCCCAGAAATACATCATGTCCAGTTTAAAGGCTTCAAATAGTTAACATCACTCTAAAAGATGTTTCCTTTGACAAACGGGCCTGATTTGGTTCTGTTGGGATAGTGGGCGGACCAGGAACCAGGCAAAGTATCAGTAAATCTGGGCCAAACCAAAACAATCCAGCTTCAGTCTGTGGGAATTTTTAGCTAAAGTTCAGTTTGTTTGCTGGTTCTGGCTCGTTTCAGGTGCTGAAAAAGAATTTTCTCCCATTTAGAACTGAAATGGTTCCAGTTCCTGGTTCGGCCCCAGCTGTTTCTGGAACCATTAGAATTCTGAGCTGGTCCAGTTTGTTTGAATCATGCTCTGTTTAAAAGAGAGTTCTGTTCAGAAATGAACACCTGCAGGCTCCTCCCACTAATACATCACCTGAACGGTATCTCAGGTTAACTCTTTCCCAGCTGGATTAAAGGTTCCAGTGGCTGGCTGTGGGCGTAAGCAGTAACATGACCAGCAGGGGGAGGCGCTGCAGTCATTTAATCGGGTTAATTTGCTAAAACGGTTTGCGCTTTGGACTCATTACCATCAAAGAGTGGCGGGTCAGATCAGTCAGGAGCCCACAGAACCACATCACCAATTCAAGCAGCTGCTCTGATTCCTCCCCAGGTGGCGCTGTCCAGCCGTCTGCAGGGTTTGTTTCTCAGCAGCTTCCCGAGCTCCACCCAGAGCCACCAAGTGGAGGACCAGGTAGCGACCCTGAAGGTCCTGCTGGAGCCCGGAAAGGTCCAACCGGATCCTGATGGCGAGGAGGAGAGTTTGAGAAGCAGCTGGTGAGTCGATTTTATGAAGTTTCCTGATCTGATGTGACGTCATTTTGTGAGGAGCAGCCGTCAGCGATGCGTCCCTCTCACCGTTTTCGCTGCAGGTCGACGCACGGCGACGTCTGGACGCAGCTTCGGGACGTCCACGAGGCTCTGGGGCTTCGGTACCAGTGGGGGGGCTCGCACTGTAACAAAGTCCTGCTCTGCTGCCTCGGCATCGACACCAGAAACATCGTAAGTCTGTCCTGGAGGATTCAGATATTCTAAGTGTTTAAATCTAGTTGGTCTTTGTTTTGTTTCATAAGTCAATCAGTTTAGTTCTGATTTCTTTGTGTGGTCTGCATTGGGTGACCTGGTTTCCATCGCCTTGGTGGAAAACGATGGGCGTCACTGTAAAAGTTGTGGTTCTGATGGCAGCAGAATTTGCTCTAGATCTCAGCTGTATGTGATGCTGCACCACGGAAGAGGAAGTGAGCTGATTAAGATCCCTGACCAACAGGAAGTGGAGCTGTGGGGCTTCCTGGTGCAGGATCAGATTTCTGGGAATGGTTCCTCTTGGGGTTCTAGTGTTGGATGCATCTTTTGTTGTTGGATTAGTTCTTTTCCTAGTTTTAATTGTTTTGTTCCTCCTCCAGTTGTTCACGGGACAGCGGAAGCAGCCGGTCATCGTGCCGATGTACGCAGCCGGCCTGGTGAGTTCAGCCCATCCGCTGCTCTGCATCCAGAACCTTCAGAATTCCATGCTGGGTTTGCAGATGATTGACTGGTGTCGTTTTCAGGGGATGCTGGAACCGACCAAAGAGCCGGCGAAGCCCGTTTCTGCCGCAGAGATGATCGCCTCCATCGCTCAGACGCCCCCTGCAGCCGCAGAGAAAAGCTCCTGCCCGTCTGACCCGGTGCAGGTGGGTCAGCACGCTGAGACCGAGTCACTTGCTGCCCAAATGATCTGGAATGATAGCTGCCGTGTTTAAAGTGTTCCCTGTTCTTCCAACAGGAGGCGCTTCCTCCCATCCAGTTTGACTGGAGCAGCAGTGGCCTTACCAACCCGTTGGATGGTAGGTGATCCAGCTCCCCCGCCGTCTGTCTCCCTCCCGCCGCCATTTAACCTCGCAGCTCCTCAGAAGCTCCTCCGTCCGACAGACGGCTCAGTGGAACCGGCAGAATTCAGCCTGAGTTGAAGGGTCCTTGTTTCTGTGCCGTTTTCCCTGTGAGGGGATTTAAAACAATAAAACAAAGTTTCCAGCTGCTCCTTGGGCTTGTTCTGCTCCAGCAGCGGAGACCGGAATGTTCTTCATCCTCTGAGGACGTTTTTTGCTCCTCAGTCAAACCGGTTCAGATAATCAGATGAAATCCAGCAGCTGAGCAGAACAAACCCGCCCCTCTTTTCAGTATGGTGGCATCAGCATCGTAATCTGATCATTCTGATGGTTGAGCCGCTGATGGGCCTCCTTGCTTTGCTCGCTGCTGAAGCTGAGATGCTTGAGCTGATCTGAGGTCAGCCTGCAGCCGTCTGTCATCAGTCTCACATGAAGCCGACTCTGCTGCATGACCGCTCTCTTTCTCTCTCTTTCTCTCTGTCTGTCTGTCTGTGTTTACCTCGGCCGTCCAGCCAGCGGAGGCTCGGCTCTGTTAAACCTGGACTTCTTTGGCCCGGTGGAGGATTCAGGCTCCAGCAGCTCAGCCTCCATCCCAGGTCAGCGGCTGCTCACCTTAACCTCTCATCCATCCCACCAAATTAATCACAACGAGCATAAACTCTTTTTTTTTTTTTTTTTTTTGGAATGAGAACCGGTTCAGACGTTCCTCCTGGACCAAGTCTGAAACCCTGCAGCCA